CCAGCGTAGAAGCTCAGGCTTGTTCTTGCAAACCAGCGTGGAAGCTCAGGCTTGTTCTTGCAAACCAGCGTGAGGTTCCTGTCGATGAGCTGCAGAGTGAGCTCGTAAGACGTGAAGAAGTTGTCGCACAGGTCATCAGAATGTCTTGAGCGGCATGGCGGCACTGAAGATGGGTCTGCCGCTTTCTAACACAAATAAACGGCAAATGTCTGTATGCTGTGTTTCTTTAAAACAAGCATCCATGTTGACCTGACTGAAAAATGTTGGATTGTATACCTGCATTAATGAGCATGGACTTTGTTGTTTTCAACCAGTTTGACACAACTGTCAACAAGTAAGAGGGCCAGCAATGGAGGAGGGGGCATACCAAAGAGACCATCTTAACACCAACCAAACTGGTTTGTTCCACTTTGGAGTAAACTGTTGGGGGAAGAATCAGTTTTGTTGACTGATGAAGCCTTCCGGATTGAAGGCGAAACGTTTCAGCACAAAAAAAAGAAACTGTCCAGATGACCTGACTGAAAGATGTTGGGAAGCATCCATGTTGTTTTCTTTCTTTATTTGCAACTTGTAGTCTTTTCATCATTGTCAAGTTTTACAGTTTGCACACGCTCACAAGAATTTGGGCTGCCCATGGTTGGTACAGCTACTGATTGTTAGACTTACATCTCACAAACCTTGTGACCGAGTAGACAGGGAAGGATAAAGTCTGTTTTAGACTTGGTGAATGGGATGGCCATGTCAAAGTTCATCCATCCAAGCATCTATCTGCTCATGCAGCCATGCAGGTCATAATAGTGGCAAATTATTTTCCTCTTAAATACCAATTTGTGTATTAAGAAGAGTTCTTGTTGTTATTTGTAGACCACAGTGTGCTCACAAAATTCAGATGCTAAACACGATCTTTTATAACAACAAAGAATGTGTAACTTAACAATAAAACACACCATCCAATTCAAAGTTGTTTATTTATATACAGTGTATAAACACCCGCTTTGGATGTTATCAGCCATTAAATGGCCGTTATTATTTGTTATCATCTCCATATGTAGCGGTCAGACTGCCCCTCCTGTACCTCCTAGTGGGTTTAAAGGTACATTGTTAGCGATGATAATAGGCTCTGTTTTTAGCTTTGTTAGCGCTCATAATAGCTTCACGTGGTTAGGTTTAGAGTAAAGGGTCTGGCGGTTAGGTTTACGGTCTTGGTTAGGTTTAGGCACAAGGGTAAGGGGGTTAAGTTAAGGGCTGGTCCTCTGGGTCAGGTGTAAGCTTACGTTTAGGAAAATGGTTACATAAGCTGGAAAAAAAAGAAGACACTTCCTAGTTTACCCCCATGCGACGCTGCCTATTATCAGCAGTAATAACGATAACTTACCTTTAAACCTACTAGGAGGTAGGTGGGACAGTTTGACTGCTACATATGGGGATGATAACAACTAATAACGGCCATTTAATGGCTGATAACATCCGAAGCCACTTGTATAAATATCAGTCAGTTTCTTTATTTGTCATTCGCACCACATGTGGTACATATGGTGGAACGAAATTGTATACACAGGGTCCCAAGTTTCATCCAACAATAAAATGAAAAAGAAAAACAGTAATAAGATCTCAAATGTGAACTGAGGAAAAACGTTCTCAAAGATACACTAAGCACTAGCAGTATACCAACAAAACGTCGAACAGCAGCACAAACATGAGTCTGTGTGAGCAGATGAGCACAAATTAACACATCAACATGAAACAGATCAGCAGCAACATGAAACGGATCAGCAGCAACATGAAACGGATCAGCAGCAATGCGAAACGGATCAGCAGCAACATGAAACGGATCAGCAGCAACATGAAACAGATCAGCAGCAACATGAAACAGATCAGCAGCAACATGAACCAGATCAGCATCAACATGATGTGGTTTTTCACAGTGATTATTCTGGTTTATTGATTCATGAGTCTAACAGCCTCCGGGTAGAAGCTGTTCCTCAGTCTAGTGGTTCTACACTTAATGCTCCTCAACCTCCTTCCTGAGGGGAGTGGGGCAAAAAGTGTGTGTGCTGGGTGAGTGGGGTCCTTCATGATGCAGGTGGCCTTCTTCCTGCATCTGGAGGTGTAGATGTCTGTGATGGTGGGGAGGCTGACTCCAACAGTCTTCTGTGCAGCCTTCACCACTCTCTGCAAAGCTTTCTTCTCTGCAGCTGTGCAGCCTCCATGCCACACGTTGATGCTGGAGCACAGGATGCTCTCCACTGCACACCTGTAGAAGGAGGTGAGGACTGAGCTTCCCAGACCAGCTCGTCTCAGCAGTCTGAGGAAGTAG